AGCAGTAACACACATATGCTCTCTGCTTCTTGCATCCCATGCTTTGAGCTATGTACATACCATTTCGATGTAACTAGGGCACCAGGTTATCTCAGATCAGTTTTAAGCAATTTACTGTCACAATTCATGCAGATGAATTTTAGTAATTTCTATTTCTGAATAAACATGAGTGAACTGATAAAAACAGAACACTAATCTCACAACTACCGCACACAGGACAAAAAAAAGCAATAATAACCAAAAATATCCCTACTCTCTTGCCAGTACAGGAATAGAACCAATAGGTCTTTTCCATCATCTTCCATGACTTACAAAATCTGAATCATAACAAACTTCTTGACAGCCTGATCATCTTTATCTTAAAACTCAACCAGCAAATCTAGCCTGAGACATGTTGGCAATGGATATTTTTCAAATTCATCCTTCTGTAAAATATCAAGAATATTCATGTGCAATCCTTTTAAATGCATATTACTCTACTATAGTGAACAATTATTTTAACTGGACAACACATACTTGCCTCCTAATTAAAACAGTCAATCATTGGTAACAGACTTATTTCTATTCAAACCACATTGGGGGAAACATACCTATAATAATGCATTACACAGTGAAAGGCTTTAAACCAGCTTGCACAAATGTCTCCTTCTTTGCAATGGCAATCAACAATCAGTAGAACACACAGATGTCACAAGTTTTTTCTTCTGTAGAACTATGGTTTAGGTAAACTCATTCATACTGTTATGAGTAAAATACACATACGTTCAGATTCTTTTTCCAATGTGTTCCCCACCCCCCCCCACCCCCCCCCCAGTTATTCTCGTAATGTGGGTAACAGATACACTCCATTGATAAGCTTCTTGTGACTAAGTTTGCAAAGGGAGACTAAGATGCAAGGACACAGTACCCTTAAAAACACTTTATATAAAATCTGATGCTCTTCAAACAAAAGCAGTTGTGTTGTAAATTGTTCATGGTATGTACTGCAACATGCAGTTTAACTAAACAGATTCACTAAATAAGAAGAGAACTTTGATACATAGTAGAAACTACCTAAGAATGAAAATGATGCCACTTATAATTAAGCATAAAATTATTCTCACCCAGTATTAGTAATAACATTCCCAAAATCCTTTCAAGTTATTTTTATATTTTATTGCAATCAGATAACTGCACGTTTTACAGCATAGTCACACATTGTATTTTGCTAACAAACACATTGCCTTACATAATGATCTGCATCATTTCTGCTCTATACTACAAAGCCTATGACTGAATACAAAAAAAGTTTTACAAAAGAAACTGTTGGGGTTTTCTTAAAGACTACAATAACAATAAAACCGTTTCCAGATAACAGCTAAAATTGTAAAGGCATATCACTGTATAGTTTTACTGGAATTCTAAACAGTAAGGAATGAAGTAAGTTTTAGTATCTGCGACGCTTGTTAGGTCCTTCAAAGTTGCCCCCTGGGTTTCCTCTACCAAAGCCACCAGGTCCACCACTCACGGCACCTACACCACTCATTGGCGGCTGAGGAGTTTCAGAGCCCGTTCTACTAATCAGAGGTGAACCCATCTGTGATGGACCTCCTTGAGGGAATCTCTCATTATGCTAATACAAGTCCATTTGGAACCATGCCAAATGTGAGTTACAACAAAAACCACAAGTGATGTTGTCATGAAGTTCAGCAGATAGTCCAGCAGAATCAGGATCACACATAAAGGGAAGAAAGGAGCAATTTAATTAGTTATTATGGAAAAAGAGCTGGAAATTAAAGAGTGCTTATGTTATGCTCCAACTTTGTAAAGTAAATTAAAAACTTAAGACCAACTCTGGTGTCAAATGTAACTTCATCCTTTCGAGCACATCTGAAGCAATATATATTCTCTATGTAACAGACAGCAAACAGTAACCTGAGCCCTGTTCTGCCTTTGATACATACTATAATGCTTCCCCCTTAAATACATCACAGAAACATTGTCAAATTACAAAAACAAAAATCACCCCACTCAGCTTTTGTATTTATTTTTTGTATTTCTAGAAACTGTATGTTTATTCTTTCAATACTAATATAACCCAAATACATAAATACCCAGATACCTATGGGTATTTCCAGCCATATTACTCATCATTTTGTATGCCACTTTACAAATCTTCAGTTAGACTTTTAAAACACAGTCCAAATAAACTGACACAACTAGTGACAAAATCCATAACTGGACTATGCTTAGTTTCCAAAAAAATTGATACGTATCTAAAGCTTAATCTGCGGTATCAATACAAGATGAAAATCCAGTTAACGTTCAACATTTAGTTCCCTTTGATCTGTGCCTAATACCAATAAATGTATATGTGCTTACACACATGTATTTGGCTATAGCAATTAAGAGATAAACCAGAAAACATGCATCTGAGCATTTACAGTTCAGTATTCATGAAAGTGTTTAAGAACAGAACCCCACATGATAAAATTTAAAACATTAACCCAACAAACCAACCATTAAAAGCACTAATATATGGTACAATCACATCTTGAAATAATTCATCATTCACCTGATTGAAGACAGTTATGCTTTCAGAAGAAATTCCTTTTGTACAGAGATCTACCTTAACTACCCAGGTATTCAGAGTTCAACAAGAACATTCAACACTAGCACTTTATACGCCTGAATCAGAGAAGAATTCTTCTGAAAGTCTAACTCCAGTAATAGTAACAGACTTCAACAGTTCTAGAGTCTGCTAATTCATATATATATATAAAATTTTAAAACAGCGTTATATCTATATAAAAACAAACGCACCTTAAATCATGCTTGTATATACGTGCAATATTTAAAAGTTGACTTTGCATACTAAAAACGTTAACAGCTGCATAAATATCTACTACTGCCCCAGAGTACCTTAAAACCTGTAGCACTGGTTAAAAATTATTTAAAATATTATCTTTAACTCATGCCAGCTTGTTAGTGATGGAGCTGAACTTCAGCAAATAGGAGCTTATGACATACTCCTAAATAATTTTTATCATTTGACTTGCGGACAAAAAGTCAAATCCTCTTTCCACCAAGGACCCCTCTCTCCAGAGGTTTACCTATTGTTTACCTACAACAAAAAGGGGGGCTGCAGAAGGAAGAGCTGTTCTTCAAATGTTATTTTCAAAGACTATGTTTCAAAAGACTGCAGTGGAACAAAACTGAGATTGCGCCAACCTTCCCCTAAAAGACTTCTGAAGAACATAAAATTGAAATTAAAAAAAATTATAAACTGTATTTCTGGTCTATAAAGCATATTCTCCATTTCCCTCAGTGGAAACTGAGGTTAACTCTTACAGGGCTTACTTAGAAAGCCCTCAAGGGACCTTTAAAGCGTCATGCCAACAACAGCAAAAACACCGTTTGGCTGTGCCTTTCATTAGGGGCCTGCTCCCAAAATTAAAGATGACCGAAAGTCCAAACTGAAAACAAACAAAAAATCCCACCCAAACAACCCAAGAAACAATCCCCCAAACAAAATCCCACAAAACAAACAAAACCCAACACAAAGCAAATATCTTATTTGTCCTTCAGTAGCATGCAGAAGAAAATGGTATTAAAAAAAACTTAAACATGCACTTTGAGTTGTCAGTATATTCCCTACATTTCCATACCTGGAATGACTTTATGTAGAAAAACAACAGTTTGAGATAGATACCATGATTTAAGATAACATGTTTCTTTTCCTTATACCTCTTTTTCCATGCCTGTATAATCACAGAAGAATGTTCCAGGACACCAGTGCAGAGCGGTCTCCAGAAAAAGCATCTCTGAAAACAGCATTTTGTGAAAAGCATCCCCCTTCCCCTCCCCCCTGCTCTACAAGAAATGATACAAGTGATAAAATGAGCTCACTTATGATGTGAAGTGAGATCTTCTCCTTCAACTGGTAAAGACCAGACTCATTATGTATAATAATACATATTTTTGATTTGCTTAATCAAAACCTAATTTTCCTGTAAGGAATGAAGAGCTTTGTCTAAACTTCATTATACAGATTACTCAATCGCAGACAGGTACTGCTGAAAAGGCATATATAAAAGTATAGCTACAAAATGCTTGTGTTCCAATAAAACTATAATGCAATTGCTGTTTATACTCATTTATATCACACCACCACTAGAACATCCCAATATCTATTTCCAGAATAACACTGAAAAATGTGTGAAAAACAGATTAAAAATTATACAGTTGTTTTTCTACATAAGACATTACAGGCAGGAAAAGTGCTGGCTATGAGAACAGAGCAAAAAATGGCTAGTACTTTAACTGCATCCCAATGGCGTATCTGCTGTTAATAAAAAATACTAGATCTATACAAGACATTCCCTATCACCCTTGGCTACTGGGCAATACTGTTTTTCCTCTGCTGATATGACAGTTATCCCTAACAGCTGCTGGCACACTTATTTTCTAAGTGGCATAATTACTGTCATAATCTCATGCTTTCAATGGTGTTAGAAAGGAAATTCAAAACCCACTAAAGTTGCTTTAAGAAATTAAACAGTTTACACAAAGATATCTTCACACTACACAGCTTCCGACATTGAACTGTTCATTGAAAAACTCAACAAGCTAATACACTGAATTTAGTTTTACAGAAACAGCCAATGCCTAAATTTACACATTACTCTGATAAGTTGTTCCTTCTTCATTTCACAGAAATGAGTTTTTCTTAACAGGTCATACAGGCAAAATTCTCCCATGTGTGCTATACATTCTAATCTCAATTTAAAGTCTGGTTACTGATCAAAGAATTCGCCTTGCTCCCAAGTAGGATTTTCATAGTAATATCAAATAGATTTCCTTTTCTGTTGTAGTCATTTACGTAACAAGTTTTATCAAGTGCTTTTAACAGTTTCAAAACATGTAACATGTGCTCACTCAGTGTGAAAATATCTTTGGTAACAAAAATTGGCCATGAGACATGACAGCTATTCAAAGTAATTAAATTTGTGATACGTTACCACTGTTCCATTATCTGGCATCATTGGTGTTCCCATATTTGCAGCTCCTTCTGGTCCCATGGAAGGACCAGGACCCATTGCAGGGCCAGGTAAAGTTCCTCTGTTGTTCATATTCATACCCATCATTGGAGGAGGGCCTTGGTTACCAGCAGGTGCTGGGCTAAACGCATCTATGCAAAACAATCTATACTTAGAGCTGTCCTATCTGAATTTTACAATAATAAACAAACAATTTACAATATTTAAAAAGCCAAATGTACAAGACTTCCAATACTTGAAATAATACAAAAAAATTCTTTGAGACTGTACATTTATTTCAATCATCTGCTTTTAAACAGATTTTCGTTAATCTCTGATATTTTGCATTGCACAATCTGCCTCACGCATTTGAGAAGCCTGAACTTTGGAGCTAAACATAGCTGTACGATTTCTGTACAGGAACTGAAGTGTTCATATAGCATATATATGCAGTATACACACCACAAGCAAAAATCTCAAGTGATTTTGCAGTAACTGGCAGCTGTATAAGGCAGCCTGGCTCTTTAGGGATGATAACATAATATACCAGTATTATGGTAACTGTATATATATTACATTAGTCTAAGGTCTAAAAGCAACACTAGAGATGGCACTCAACATCAGCCTCCTCCAAAATTCTGATTCACAGTAAGAGGCAGGAAAAAAAGCTTGAAAACATCTTTTGAAGGAGATCATTTATATGATAACACTGTGCTAAGAAATACCATTCTTGCCAGTACCCATTATCAAACTCAACAGGTTTGTAAAATTGCCTTCACAGCATTTTCTTGTAATAAAAAATGGAAAAAAAGTCTCATTATACATGCACTGTTTACATCTGCTTGAAGATGTACGAAATACAAACAACTTCAGGACTGGTGCTGATGCACTGTTGTTTCCCCCTGCCCCCAACAATAATCCAGCCTTCTCAGTGCCAAAAGATTTCATGCATCCAAAATTTGATAAAGGAAAATGACATGCCTCCAAATCCAGCGTACATTTTAAGTCATGACAACATACAAAAATAACAAGAAACATGACATGTTGCTAGTCTAAGAAACTTGTTAATTTTTATTTCAAAAGTCACCCGCTCACCTCTCTTCACAACTGTACTTACTTTAGTAGGAACTTACTTTTAATCACTGTAAGCAGGCCATTCACCACAGACAGAGTATTATTATCTCCAGGTATGCAAAACTGCATCTTTATTACTTGCCCCGAGTACAAATACCACAGCAGTCAGTGAAAGCACTGCACCCAAGACACTGCTGCTAAAATTGCTGACCTCAGCTGGATCATACATATTACGCCAACTGCAAGCTCCTTAGCAAAAACAATCAATGCAATACAGTAGCACATGTAAGGTGCTAAACAAGATTATTAGAAGCAAGAGAGAAATATCCTGCAATTTTGAAATGCAGAACTCATTTGATTCTAATAATGAGAAACTCCAGGACCTCTCTCTATAGCACTAAGCCAAAACAAAGGCGTACACAAGACAGATGCTTCTGACCTACCCACAAGCATGTTAATGTAGCAGGTAGAAGACTGTTAAAATTTAAGAGAACTACAGTTAAATATACCCTAAAACTGTTTTTTAGCATTCAATGACTAAATATAGAAGGAAAAAGAGACATTTAAACTTCCAATATGTGGCTAAACCTTTGTTTTCAGAGGGTAGAAGTACTCTCCAGGACTATCATAATGGCAGTGCTTCCTGCTGGTAGTAGTGCCATTAACTAAAAGCAGTCAGTGCTCAATTACATGCAACTGGCTTGCTTTTCAACCTAATTAAATTCAGCCAGCTGGCCACACACAGGTAGTGTTCATTTATCCTTCAACTGTAACAAGGGTTTATCCTCTGTATCACACAAATACACCCACTTTGCTTCCAGGATGCTGTATCTATCAAGCCTCTATAGTATTAAGCCAGTTTCAGGCAGAGTCAGCTCTGACAGTACAACTAGGGAGTGTAATGCAAGGAGAGAGGGGGGCCCTCCATGATGTCAGCAAGAGACTACAGTGGCACTACAGCTGCACCTTCGAAGTTCTCCTAGCTCCAAAGCAGACTCTATGATCTAACCACTTGATTGCCTGTTCTTTTTGGTAGGACACTGATGTTACCAGTTAATTCACCGGACCTGGTTCAGCAACAGATGGAAAGCAGTCACCAGTACTCATGCCACAATGTCACAGATGTTAAAAAAGTCTTCTTCTGCAATCTCAAGGGCTGAAAATGTACACTTCATCAGAACTGCACATGACAAGGCCTAGCACAGCTGGCAACAAGCCATAATCAATCCTCATCAGGCAGACACATTTAAAAATATTCCTTTCTTTTTCCATATGGAAAAGTTTATGAGCAGCACTTAGCATTATAAATCCAGTTAAATGCTACACCAAGGCACACAGATTTTCTCAGAACTTGTTTGCCGCAAAAAATCAATGTAAAAATTACTGGTCCTGCACAAGTCAGCCCAATACCAACTAAATTCGTCACAAGGGTAACTTGCTTTGTAATGGCACTATGCTGAAGGTATTTCCATTACTGAAGATAGTCCAGCTCCCCACTGTCCCACACAATTTTTGGGGTCAGGTCTTTTGGTTGTAGTGGTGGGCTTAACGTGCTGGAGAAAAAAAAACCCTCTACAACAATCTAACCTAAAATCCAGATACTATCAAAACAAACACTATCTTTTTACCTATTTGCCAGGGGTATTTTTCCCTTTTTAAAACAGTAGTTCACTGTTACTGTGACTTCTTTTGGAACTACACATTTATTTCTAAGAACATTTGTATGAAGTGTAAAATCAAATCATAGCACAAAGCTTACAAAGCAAAACTATGAACATCACTCTTAAGCATTAAAACCTTGCAAGAAAGTGTCTGTGAACTGACTGATACAAATGCATATTTACAATCTCCATGTAAAAAGTCTATCTTGCGGATGTGGACAAATAAAGATCTGGACTTCAGCATCAATATTTACAAAGTCACCTAATTAAATGGAATTTTCAAGTAGATTGTAATGATCTGCAGAAGTAAAACTATAAAAAACTTAGTCCAAATTTATTCTTCAGATTATTTGTAGTTAACTTTACTCTTCCTTTAGAGTTACTTTTAAAGCCCTTCATCTTCATTGAAGAAAAAAAAAATAAGCAAGCCTGCAGTGATAAATGTGTCCCAATAAATGCAAGGAAATGGTAAATAATGTATTCTAATACCTGGAGATCAGATGCACTCATCTATAAATACACATTACTCAAAAGGTCAAGCAACAACATTTAGCAAGTTTTGTACGTACTTGCAAATTTAAATTACACAAGAATAGTATTAACTTTTCTTTAAATTATCACCTTAATTTATTCCAAATGAACATCAGGAAGTTTCCAAGGGAATATATATTGACAGTTAATACAGTTTAGTAAGATTTGGGTTTTTAAATAAATATTCTAAATTTCACTCTTGTTTAAAAGCAGATATTCTGGATAAGCAAGATTCCACACTGTTTCAGTCTGCATATACAGAGCAAACACCAATTATTAAGAATGTACTTTTCTAGACTTCACAGTAAGTTTTTAGAAGTGACAATATTTTAAGTCACAAAGGCAACTGAGGATATTTGCAAATATAGGCCTGCATAGATTAGTACAACACTAACCACGTTGTTCATTAAGCTTTTGTCAGATACATCAACAAAAGCTTACCAATTTTGAGCTCTGCATCATTTCATTGCATGCAATTGCAGTCCCAACTTCTCTGAATAGGCTGTCTACCAAAAGAATGCCAAATACTTTCTGAACAGATCAGTCAATTTCTATCAGATAATTTCTAGAGTATCAGCTTTCCCTGCCTTTTTGTTTCTCAACTTACACATCATATTTTTCTCCCACAGGTATTTGAAGATAAACCTTGGGGGGGAAAAACAGCTATCTGGAAGCAAAGTATGCGTTGTTTGTTTCTTTTTTCCTAATACTGTTTACTCCTTTTTACCAGTACTTGTCACTAAATAGTAGTGCTTGAGTAACATGTACAGTCCCAAAGAAAAAGAAGTTTTACAATACAGAAGCCTTTTTCCTTCAGATCCCTACCTCCCATGTTTATTGCTCCACGAGGACCCATATCACCCATTCTCATTTCCTGTTCTCTCTGAAAGTAAACATAGTTTTCATGTCAACCTGTCATTCTTACAACTTAAAAACATTCCTAGTCACTCCATGAAAATAAAAAATTTCAAGTTTCAACAGTTTCCATTGATTACAAAAATGTACAAGGAATAAAGTTAACTATACTCCACTGTTTTTATAAGACGAAATGGAATAATAAGATCAATATAGCAATGCTGTACATTTCTGCATAATGATAAAGGTTAAATATCACAAGTTTCATTTATCAGACACAGCAGTCTAATACTCCTAAACAGTTATGTTATCAACTGCAAATGAATCCATCTTCACACAGTATTTTTCATTAATAATATTTACCTTTTAACTGTAAACAAAGATTTATTTATTACAGTATTACCTACAAGCCATGGTTCAATAATAAGTCAGTCTGGTTTCATGACTCACAAATGCTTTTACTGACTGGAAACCAAGCTCTGATGTGTTAAATTATGGTATTTAAATTCAATCTGACAGTTATCTTTGTTCAAATAGTTTTAACTTAACTTGGTGGCAGTACATTTTCTGCCGAGGTTTATCATGCTATTTCTCCATTAGCTCAGACACTCACCATCCTCTTTAAACCAGAATAAAAATGCAGTATCAACATAAACTCTATAACATGCATTTATATTAAACTGATAAATAACATGCCAAATTCATTTGATGCTCAGTCATCCAACAACAAATAGTTCTGACATTACTGACAGTGAACCATGGCCTGTTGTGAAGCAATACTGAAAAGGCAGTACCCAGAGTAGCAAAAATCATTACTCTGGGGAAAGAGAAGTACACTATTACCAATATTTCCAAGGTATTTTAGTATTACAGTTAACATCAGAAGGATGAAATAGGAACAAATTTCCAGTTCAACATGAAAATTAACGAAACATACCAAAATTCTCACTAATTTTCTGGAATAATGTTAAAGTATATTCCACTCAAGTGGACACAAGTGTGCTGAGAATAAGCATATCCAAAAAAAGTTATCTGATTCTGAAAAATCACTGCACTTATGATTTAAGAGTATTAATAGTTCAGATGTGCTTTGAAAATAATGCCATATACTAGGCAATTGTTTAAGTCTTGGTATAAACAACCTTTAAATGGAAATATTAATAAAAACACATTTACAGTTTCATGAACTCCTTTTCGTTCAGTCACATTCTCACACTTAAAGTATCTATTTTCATACAATTAAAGTAGCAGACACCAACATTCGACAGAGTCAATAACTTTGTAAAATATCCTGGTATGGGAAATTCTCATATAATAAATGACATAAGGTTCAGGTCCATAACTTTGTTACTGGTAACTAATATTTACCTAGAAAATGTACTTACAATAAGATTATACATTATCTTCAAAAGAGCATGGCTTAGTGTGAAGCAAAATAAGGCTTTGTAACCAGAAGACACAAACAGGTTTTAAGGTCCAGCTATGAAAGGCTGTTGATAAACACCAAGAAGGAACTCTTCTTCTGACCCTAGAAGCCATGTTAAAACTTTAAAAATGAACATGCAACTAACTTTGTCAAGCAGTAATGCCAACAGACATTTTAAATAAAATCAGCAGCCCTATTAGGATCAATCATACCCACAAATTGATACCAATGAGTAAAGTCACAAAATCAGCATACAACGTTGTCAACATTGTCTGTTTTTACTTCAGCCCTGACATGAAGAAGACACAGAAGGAAAAGTAGTGTTTCATCTCTAATATCAAAACCTAGTCCAACATGATAGAAAAACACCATGGCTGTAAGTTTACATTGACTGTGCATGCACACACGCGCATATGTGAAAACCGGACAGGCCACAAACAGCTAAGAGATACTCTTCAACTAACAAGGGAAAGTACCTTATTTTACATTACTGCATAGAACTTACTAGATGCATCTCAGGTTCAACTATAAGTCTGAGTTTGTCGGGATTTTTTTTAAGTATCGAAGGTACCATATAAGGCAGGGCCAAGTACAACAGCAGCTAGATACGGATTTTGAGTAGAGAGCTATAAAGCTGTACTAGTTATGAGAACTCATTTTCTTTGCAAAGGATAGAAGCATTGGCAAGCTATAACATACACTTTTTAAGAAAAAGCAATAAACCAGATCTTTTCTCATCCTGAAATGTTACCAGTCTTCAATTAACAGTAGGCTTAACAAGAGTGAGCGGTAAAACCTGCAATTTTTACTTTTTTAGTCTAGTCAAACCTGTTACAAAACCCAAAGTAATTATTCACTATTTTGTATCTTTAACTTTGGTGTTGAATCATTACAGTATAAAAAACATTCAGCTATAGAGTCACGATCCATAAATGCATCTTACAGTCTCTGCAACCTTTTATCTATTAACGTGCCTGCAAGAATTACTATTATTCCTACTGCTGCATATTCACACTTATCATGTTCTTTGAATTTTCAGCACAGGGAATATGGGAATTAACAAATATAAGCTAAATCCCCTGACAGAGAAAATACTCAATTTCAAACGTTAGTTGACAGCATATACTATTAATGTAATTAAATGCCTGACATATTAACTATAAAAACATGTCTTTAGATAATTTGCCAAAACCTGTATTTGCAGGAGTCCAGATGATCACAAAAATTCAGTCCAATCCCCCCTATCCAGGACATGACACAATCATGTCCTAGCTAGCTATTTATTATGTGAGCATAAACAAGTTATTGCAGGTAGGTTAGGTCAACTATTCCATGGGTATTATCCACAGTATGACAGAGGAAGGAATACCAACAGTTAGGACAGAGTAGTAGAACCAATGCTGGTTGATACTCAAGCCCTTTGCAGAAGATAACAACAGCATTATCTTCTCAGTGCTTCTTTTTCCTCAATATGTGACTGCCCGTTCTTCTGTTGAGTAGCAGCCTGGTTTCAGCCCCTTCTCTGAAGGCATTCATAACTAACCATAACAGGGGTAAGCTGAGCAGCAAGAGAGGACTAAACTTATACTAGAGAAATATAGGGAGGCAATTAATAGCTCTGAAGTCACCCGGTACCTGGGAAAACAACTTAAACTGAAAGAGAACAAGAAAAATTGATGATATGGACATTGGTAAACAGAAAGCCGTAAGACAAAGAATGTGTAACAAAGTGTAATTTAACTTTTGAGAGATTAAAAACAAAACCAAACCAAAAAAAAACAGAAGCAAATAAAGAATAAGGTTCTTTTGTAAAAAGCTAATTGTCTAGCACACATCAAAAGAAAGCTTTCCATATTAATTCTGGTCCAGGATTCTTGTCAAATACTTCAGAACTCACTAATGCAAACAACCCTCAAGAAGGTCTGATTCATCCGAGTACTCTGCTTTTAGAAAAACTGCTACGATGGCAATTATTGCATTACACTTGCTAATTACATTAAAAATGAGATTGCCTTACAACTTCAACTCATTTTAACATCAACTGTAAAAAAGTAATCTACATAAAAACTTTACAGTTTTCAAATTACATCTATATTGTACCTTTTTCACAAGTACTAGAAACAAGATTTCTTGAGCAGCTGAGATATATAATGCACACTGTTCTTACACCTCAATCACTATTGATATCAATAGTCTAAGTATATAGAGAACTGCCAAGATGATTCTGCTGGGCGTTGTTTTTTTTTAAATATGGGTGTTTCCCAAATATATTAGGATTGTTTTTAATTCAGTCTCTAAACCCATGAAACTAAGGGTTTTGAAAAGACACCTAAGAACTGATATAGGAGAATATATCAGATGCAATTCACTTGTCATACTGAAAATAAAAATACAAGTAGCCATAAAAGTTGGTATTTTGTTAACTGACAAACCAATACTATTTGGTACTCCCAGAAGTAGGCCTCGCAATTGCACCAGCCTGACAAAAATTAAAAATCTTGTCTCCAAATGATGCAATATTCCTGGTAAAAATTCCTCTCAAGAAAATTATGGCATGGAATAAATATGACATACAATATTCTAGACCAGCAAAAAGCAAGGTAGCAACAGAAATATTAAGATAACAGATCACAGTTTTCTTCAAAGCATTTGTGGACACGAAATTTGCCTCCCAATTAACACTGAACTATTCACTCACCTTTCAGCTAAGGAATGGTGACCAAAATAACGCCAAGACACGGCATCAAAAATTTGTCTAATCAGAAAAAGAATACTTAAACCCATGAACTTAAAACTTGTACATTAAAATCAGTAACTTAATTAGCACTTTATCTAGATTGTGTGTTTAGAGCAAAATGTAATTCACAGTGCTGTTGATGCTCACCTGTTTTCATTAAGATGGAAACTGCATTCTATTTCCTAGCAGACATTTTCAAAACAGGTATGACACTTCTGTAACCCTTCCCAGAGTTCATTACTCCTTTCTAGAGAGGTTTATTTCATAAAGTTCTTTCTAGAAAAGAAAATTTTCAAAGGCTTCTCCACAGAAGAATAGAGAAGAAACTGGCATAAGGCTTTAAACCTTGTACAAAATTGAGATTTTGTGTAAGAGACCTATATTTTAAAGACAAGTCATACAAGTGGTTAAAATTGCTAGCTTGGCAGGCAAAATTAGCATTTATGGGATACTTCTGATTGTACGTTATTTCTCATTTCCTAAGAATATTCTATTTAGTTCCAGTGACTATCTCATTAGAAGTTAAATTGCCTGCAGAGTTGAAGTAACAGCAGCCTTCCACCCAGCCCTCTCATCACCTTTCCCTCTTTGGTTTATCCATCAAGATCTATTTGTAAGATCCAAAAGTTACAATATTCCAGTTCAGTTTATTCAATCACATGCACTGCAATCTAAATCCAGAGCTAATCCCTCCTCTGAGCTGGGCATAATACTAGATTTCTTCCAGCATAAACTACTCAAGAATTCTATGAAAACAGGAGTTTGGGGAAAAAAAAAGTAAGCTTTTACCTCACCCAAAATTAGACAAGCAAATACATTAAACTAGATAACAACTACAGTAAATGTAGCTATAAAACATGTAGCA